ACAAAAATCATAACACATAAATCAATAATTATCAATTTCTTTAGTACAACAAGTGGAAATGAGAATTCGAAGTTAAGACCTATAGACAGGTACCAATTATTACTCATCTTGACAATAAATATCATATTTAGTTGTAAAACAACTCGTAAAACCCGTTTTCTCTGATCATTTGATTTTTATGGGTCCAAATGACCACTAAATCAATCTACGGTGATTCTCCATTCTCAATTTAAAAAATATATCAATAACAATTAGTTGGTGTCAAACGGAGCCTGGTTCAATGTATTAAGACATCTAGATGCAACTAAATGGTCGTAAGTTCGAATTCTCACTCCTATATGTTGTACTAAAAAAGCTTAGTCAATAACTAATAAATTACGTATTTAAATCGAATCATAAATGGTCATTCATAATGTGAGTAAGAAAGTTTTAATTAAAGTGTATTAATTCAATAATTATTACTTATTCAACTATTGAATATCGCAAGTCTTAAGAGTCTACTAAATTAGGCAACTATTGAAGGACTCAATTTCATTCTTTTACTTCAATAACCATTTGAACTTTTTTTTTATACGATATCTAGGGTGGTGGATTGAACTCACAACCTCTTAATTTGATGTGGTATATGCTGAGTTATGCTCATTTTGTCAATTCTTCTTTCTCTCTTGATTATTTATTTTTGGATTTCGAAATTTAGCATAGTGAAACTTTAGCGTCTCTAATTTTTCAAAGGTATATAGTAGCATTGTTTAGCAATCTCAAAACATTGGTGAGCGGTAAATTTCTTTTTTAAAAAATAATATAAATAATCACACAGTTTTCTCATTTACTACTGTTTTTTATTTTTATTGTTTCGTAATTAAGCTATTATTATTATTATTATTTTGTATTCTGGATGTTTATCCATTCTTTAAAATTATAAATTTATTTTTAGTTAAGCAATATATATTTTTTTGTAATATTTATTTTTGTATTTTGAATCTTTATGACTGCTTAAGCTTATTTCAAATTACAAATACATAAATCAATTCTAATTTTTAATAAGTTTAAATTATATATATATATATATAGACACACGCTTTTTTTTTTGTACAGAATGTAAAATATATATTAATTAATAATGGATGTGATTTATGTTTTATACTTATATAAATACCTATATCACCGTAAAAGAGCTATATAACAAAATAAATATGTTATTTGGGACAAAGTTTCAAAATAATCTAGTTTTAAAAATAAATTACAAAAATAATGTTAGTTTAAAAATAATAACAAAATAAATGTAATTTAAATAAATAAATTTAAAGTAAGTTAGGTTTTCAAAACTATTAACAAAAATAGGTTAAGTCAAAGTGAAATTTAAAACTCGCGTGCAATGCCTGCGATTTCCCTGCAAACGTGTATATTTGACGTGGCAGGTGACTAAGTGGAAGTCACGTGCATTGTACGCGACTTTCACCTTTTTATTTTTTTATTTATTTTGGAAGTCGCGTACATTGTACACAACTTTGACCTTTTTATTTTTATTTTTTATTTCTATTTCAATTTTTTTGTATTGTTATTTTATTAATATTGTGAAATTTAATTAAGATGTGATTAAATTTTTTATTGTTTGTTATTATATTTTAAATTCTGACTAAAATGTCATGTAAAGTCTGAAAGTTTAAAACTAGATTAAAACCAATTCAATGATTAAAATGTCATTTCAGCTTCATAGGCTTCATTTTAACATGTTCTATAAAATAACATTTAGATTTAATATAAATTAAATTGATAAAAAATTATAAAATTAAAGAAAAACATAAAAAATTAAGGTATAAATTACATGAATATACGTAATAGTTTTTTTTAGAACAAATATATAATTTTTGAGCATTGTACATAGTCAATAACATATTTATTTAAATATTCTCCAACATCATTATAAATTTACCTACAAAACAAAGATATTATTATCTAAACCCGTCGAACATCACATCTAAAAAATGGGGGAAATTTAACTTTGAACCATAGTAGGTGGTAATACATGACCTATTTTCTAAATATGGAGAAAATTAAGATTATACAATTTAGTCTTTTTTTTAATTATAGTTTTTTAAAATAAAATTCAAAACTAAAAAAAATAAAAATAAAAGAAAGAAAGGGAAGTGGTAAGTGGTAGATCAAACTTTTTTTTAGGAAGCCGCGTACTGTCAGCAGGCTGCGGTTTTGCAATTTCTACCTGAGTTGCGGACAATGGCTGCAACTTTGATCCCATTGGAGTTCATTCCTACGATTCATCTATCCTATTTTTGTAATTATTTTGAAACCTACACCAATTTTGTCATTTGTTTTTTTAAAAATAATTATTTAAAAAAAATCCATATTATTTGCAATCTATAAAAGGAAACATATTATAAATTTAAAAAATATATTAATTTTATTAAATAACTTTTTTTTAGTACAATATTTTGGGAGGTGATTTGAACTCACAATCTCTTGGAGATATATGTCAATAACTACTGAACTATGTAATTTTATCAAATAACTTGCTTTTTGATTAATTAAATTTATAATATTTGTGGCTTACTTGCATTTAGTTCACTGCAGTTAAAGGAATTTTATTCCATTTTTAAAGATCAGAGGTTCAATTTACTATTCCCACATTTGTTGTAAAAAAACGATAATATTATGAAATGAAATAAATCTAAAAGAGTACAAACATGCACAAACATGAAAAAGTTTCAAAATTATTCACGTGGTAATTATTAATAATGTATTGAAAGAAAAATGGAGCAAATATCAACACTTAGGACTTGTTTGGTAACGTTCTCATTTCTAGTTTATTCTTTTCAATAAATAAGAATATAATTGCATGGCTCCCAACATCTATAGATTCAAGAACGATAAAATAATATTTTTGTTTATATTAGAACAAATTGAAAACTGAAACAAAAGATAAGGACCTTGGTAATGTTCTCGTTTTTGTTTCTATTTTTTCATTTTTAATAAAGAAAAATAGAATTGCATGTCTCAAACACGCATAAATTCAAAGATGATCAAACACCATTTATATGTGTGTTTTGTAACAAATTGAAAATTGAAAATGGAAACAAGAAACTTGTTGTCAAAATTTCTATACAATTTTGAGAATGTTTCCAAAAACGACAAACAAGAAACATAATTAACTGCACAATACTTAGGTTTCTTGATAAAATTTGGAAAGAAAAACAAAAAACAGAAACGTTACAAACCAATCCTAAGAAACATTTTTTTTATTTCCAAAATTTTATAAAAATTTGAGAATGTTTCAAAAAAGAGAGAAAAAAACATAAATAGTTGTTAAATATTTAGGTTTTTTAATAAAATTAAAAATAAAAAAAAAAAAGAAACAGAACGTAACAAAAAAAACCCAAAAATACTGAAAGTTGTGGGTAGCATTATTTTTTAAATATGTATTTTTATTTAGAAAAAATTCAAATATCACATTTTTTTAATTTTATTAATCATTACATTCTAACATTATAAGATATTTATTACCTTTTTTAAAAGTTGAAGGTTTGAAATCCATGTTTAATATAATGACTGCAATTATAATTATAATACTCACATGTGAACTTTATATATATATTTTTTATTATTTTAATAACCAACTTAAGTACAACTAATTAATTGTTTTAAGAAGTCAAAAAAAATTAATTGTTTAAAATATATTTCTTCAATCAAAATATCAAAAATTAAAATTTCAATTTTTTAAATATATGTAATTACTTTTTAAGAATATTTTGTAATATTTTTATTAATATTATGCAAGGTTTGTTTACTTCTATACCCAACAAAATTCAAAACAAATAATTTAAGTAAAATTCAAAATTCATGAATCAATTAACAAACCAAGTCATAGATGATCTATTTGTTTATTATTCTTCGTTGGCTGTGCAATTTCACACATACAAAAGAAAAAAGTCAAAGTTGAGTAGAAAAATAAAATAAAATAGTTAAAAAAAAACCCCCGACAAACCCATGTTAATCAATCTTCTCGTAAAGTGCTTTATTTTATTTTATTTTATTTTATTTTATTTTTTTTGCTTGATTAATGACTGTATCTGTTTTTTTTTCTTTGTCTAGATTGTATTCAAATCCATGACCTGTTTCTGGTTGTAATATTCTTTCGGCTCCTCAATAAAATAAAATAAAATAATTGTTCTTCAAAAGTCAAAAACGACCAAATCTGTGGGATTTNGGCTCCCAAGGATACGTGTTGTATTGTTGTTTTTGCTTCGATTTTTATTTGAATCTATTGTAAAAAGTGAAAAAGAAAAAAAAAACTCGAGTGTTTTGTTTGACATTTGAAAGTTTTGTACTGCTTTTGGTGATTGTGGATGTGGATGCCATATTGGAGCATTTATTTCTAATGTAGATTTGGGAAATGGAAAATGAGTTTCTTTTCTTTTTTTAATTTACTTTTGGTTATTTTATGGTATTTTTTAATTTAGTCTCTCCATGACATAATACTCAATAGATAGATAGAATTTTTAAAGTAAAGAAAAAGAAAACCATTCAAGAAAGAAAATTCGAAATTATTACTAATTCTCCAGAGATTTGGAGAGGAAAGCAGAAGCTTTTCTCATTCATTTCTACTAACTAATTCATTAAATATTATAAGGTGATTCAACTCATTTAATATTTACCAATAATGAGAAACTACAACACATGATAGAATTAAATTAAAACTTTCCAAATTAAGTGAGAAAAATTTTGTAGAAAGAAAAATGATGGAGCGTGGGCATCAAGAAATGAGGAAATGTAATGGGTTTTATAAGCCCTTTATAAAGGCTGCTCTCACAAACTTTCAAAAGAGGCAGTGCCAAAAGAGCTCTCTTTGGGAGGGAGTATCTTCCCAAAAGTTGGCAATTTCTTTCATCTTATTCTCAGGTACCCTTTTGCTTTCATCATCATCTTCTTCTTCTTCTTCAAGGTGAAGCACCCACTTGCCATTTTATGGGTTTTTTCTTTTCCTTTTTCTTCTGGTTATGTTGTCTTTTCCCTCTTTCTCTCTCTCATCTGCTTGTTTTGGTGGTGATTTCTGTTTGTGGGTATCCACTCTTTTTCATTTGGGATGTGGACATTGTCTTCCTTATCACGCCTCTATTTGGTTCTTTCTTTTTGCTGGTTGTTCCATAGTGTTTGCTTCTGATTTTCCATTTTTCTGTTTTGTTTCCCATGGTGGGGCATTTTGGTAACTTCATTTTTCCCTTCCTTCTGTTTGTTTTTTTCTTTGGATGAGAGGAAATGGGAAGTGAAGAAAGTTTCCTCCCTTTTTGTCTTTTGATTTTCAGCTTTTTCTTGAATGAGAGAGAGCGGGAGAGAGTAAAGTAATTCTAATTCCTCTGTGTTGTTGACATACTTTTGTTTGTTTCTCTGTCTCTGTTCCATTTCTTTTCTCTCTCTATTTTGTTTTGGTTTTGGGGAGATTAGGTGTGAGTTTTGTTCTATGTACAAGTTTCTCTTACAATATTCTTAGCTTTTAAATTCTTTTTAGCTACTTGTTTGCCTAGCTTGTTCTAGATTTCAATATGATTCTGATATGCCATTCTCTGTGAACTGTATTCAAGTAGGCAGAGTTTTTTGTTCTTGTTCGAAAATCGCGGTAAAGAGGAGCTAGAATTTAGGACACGAGATGGAGATAGAGAACCAATTGGATGGAAACTCAAATATGGATCAACCCAGCTCATCAAAAGGCAATGGACCTGAGAAAAGCTCCAACCAGAATGGCAATCAACAAGACTTGAACAAAAAAGGAGAGGGGAAAACAAACACGGTCCCGTTTTACAAGCTGTTCTCATTTGCGGATTCGACCGATATCCTTCTGATGGTTGCTGGCACGATCGGCGCAATAGGGAACGGATTGAGTCTGCCCCTTATGACTATATTGTTTGGTGAACTGAGTGATTCTTTTGGCAATAATCAGACTAGCTCTGACGTAGTTAAAGTAGTTTCCAAGGTAAAATTTTGTGGTGTTAAGTTTTATGAGAATCCCTTTTGTATTAACTTTGTTGCCTTCAAAATGTTATACAGGTCAGTCTTAAATTTGTGTACTTGGCAATCGGATGCGGTGTAGCGGCTTTTATCCGTAAGACATCTCTTTACCGAGTTTTGTCCGAATTCTTACTGCATGAACGATTCTCATTATCGAATTCTTTGTTTGTTTGTTGCATATCAGAGGTGGCTAGCTGGATGGTCACAGGGGAGAGGCAGGCTTCAAGAATAAGGGGTTTGTATCTCAAAACTATACTGAGACAAGATGTTTCTTTCTTCGACTTGGAAACAAACACCGGAGAGGTGGTTGAGAGAATGTCGGGGGACACCGTGCTAATACAAGATGCGATGGGGGAGAAGGTAACACTAACAGAACCTAGTGTGAATGAAAACTAAGCTTAAAAGTTCCATTACATGGAAAAAGAATGAATAGATGATTAATTAACATTGTTTGTGAATGATCTTTAATAAAATATTCTCTTGTTTCACTCAGGTTGGAAAATGTATACAGCTTCTATCGACATTTATTGGAGGCTTTACAATAGCTTTCATCAAAGGATGGCTCCTAACGCTCGTCATGGCATCCTCCCTTCCTCTACTTGTGATTTCTGGGGGTATTACATCGCTCATTATAGTGAAAATGACGTCCCTTGGTCAAAGTGCTTATGCCAAAGCAGCCGATGTTGTCGAGCAGACGATCAGCTCAATTAGAACTGTATGTTTTATCATCATAACATCATAGGTTTTCTTGCTTTGGTCTTTATGAAAGATGAATCTTAATACTCTACTGCTCTGTAGGTTGCATCATTTACTGGAGAGAAACAAGCTGTGAGCAATTACAAAAAGTTTCTAGTAAATGCTTACGGATCGGGTGTTCGGGAAGGTTTGGCCATTGGACTCGGTTTTGGTACTATTTTTGCAGTGCTTTTCTTCAGCTATTCATTGGCTATATGGTATGGTGCAAAGTTGATATTGGATAAAGGATACACCGGTGGAGAAGTTCTTAACGTGGTCGTTGCCGTGTTAACTGGTTCCATGTGAGCTTCATTTACGCTTCTTTCGTCGCATCGTCTAAATTATAGAGTACATTTCATCAAAAAATAAGCAAAAACTTCAGATTACAAAGTTTATGAACTGAAATTCACTTGCATATTTACTGATTGTAATTGCTTTTAATCAGGTCTCTAGGCCAGGCATCTCCATGCCTAAGTGCATTCGCTGCTGGCCAAGCTGCAGCCTTTAAAATGTTCGAGACAATCAAGAGGAAGCCTCTCATTGATGCTTATGACACGAAAGGAAAGACGTTAGACGACATTTCGGGAGATATAGAACTGAGAGATGTTCATTTTAGCTATCCTTCTAGACCGGATGAGCACATTTTCAATGGATTTAACCTCAAAATTCCAAGCGGGATGACTGCAGCTTTGGTTGGACAGAGTGGGAGTGGAAAGTCAACTGTGATAAGTCTAATTGAGAGATTCTATGATCCGCATAGTGGTGAAGTTCTAATCGACGGTATTAACCTCAAACAGCTTCAGCTAAAATGGATTAGAAACAAAATCGGTCTCGTCAGCCAAGAACCTGTGTTGTTTGCATCCAGCATAAAGGATAACATTGCGTATGGAAAAGATGGCGCAACCATTGAAGAGATTAAAGCAGCTGCTGAACTTGCCAATGCGTCTAAATTTATCGACAAACTGCCACAGGTATCAACTTGCACTACAGTGTATGATTTTGATGCATCAATAGTAGCTTTTAATGTTTGACTTCTAATATTTGGAGCCTTGATTGTGTCCAGGGACTCGACACACTTGTTGGTGCGCATGGAACGCAGCTTTCGGGCGGTCAGAAGCAGAGAGTTGCCATTGCTAGAGCAATTCTGAAAGATCCACGAATCTTACTTCTAGATGAAGCTACGAGTGCACTTGATGCCGAATCCGAGCATGTAGTGCAAGAGGCATTGGACCGTATCATGGTTAACCGAACTACCGTTATTGTCGCTCATCGTCTAAGCACAGTAAGGAATGCAGATATGATTGCTGTCATTCATAAAGGGAAGATGGTTGAGAAAGGTAAGAACAAGCGTTTCTTTCACTCCCTTGTGATCGGTTCTTTGATTATATTTAGTTTCTGAAAGTTGAGTTTGTTTAATTGATCAGGCTCACATACAGAACTACTTAAGGATCCGGAAGGGCCTTACTCGCAGCTTATTCGCTTGCAAGAAGTCAACAGAGAGTCCCAAGAAACAGGAATCGATAAAAGTAAACAAGAAAGTACTTCGGGATCGTTTAGACGATATAGTAGAGGAGCATCGATGCCACGATCAATTAGTAGGGGGTCATCTGGAGTAGGAAACAGCAGCCGCCATTCCTTCTCAGTTTCATTTGGTTTACCTGCAGGAGTTCCTATCACAGATGTTCCCATGGCAGATGAAAGTGCTCCCGACACAACGGAACAATCTCCACCAGTTCCATTCCGCCGACTTGCCTATCTCAATAAGCCGGAAATTCCAGTACTGCTGCTCGGATCTGTGGCTGCAATCATCAATGGCGTGGTTCTCCCACTTTTTGGCCTACTATTTGCCAAAGCAATTGGAACGTTTTACAAACCGCCCGATCAACTAAAAAAGGATTCGAAATTTTGGGCACTGATAATGATGTTGCTTGGTGTGGCATCATTAGTTGCAGCTCCAGCAAAAACGTACTTCTTTTCTGTGGCAGGATGCAAGTTAATCCAGCGCATTAGATTGCTTTGTTTCCAGAAGGTAGTGAACATGGAGGTTGCTTGGTTTGATAGGACCGAGAATTCTAGTGGTTCGATAGGCGCCAGGCTCTCGACAAATGCTGCAACAGTGCGTGCATTGGTCGGGGATGCGCTGAGTCAGCTTGTTGAGAATCTAGCATCCGTTGTAGCTGCTTTACTCATTGCTTTTGTTGCAAGTTGGCAGTTGGCTTTAATCGTCCTCGCCATGTTTCCCCTTCTCGGACTCAACGGATTTGTCCAAATGAAGTTCATGAAAGGATTCAGTGCAGATGCGAAGGTATATAATCTAACTAGTCTTTAATCAGATCGTGAGTAAATTTATCAACATAGTTTATCGGTTTTCAGTTGATGTACGAACAAGCCAGCCAGGTCGCAACCGATGCCGTGGGGAGTATAAGAACAGTTGCATCGTTTTGTGCAGAAGAAAAGGTGATGGAACTGTACAGAAAGAAATGTGAAGGTCCTATGAAATCAGGCATAAGGCAAGGCTTGATCAGCGGGACAGGATTTGGAGTATCATTTTTCTTATTGTTTGCAGTCTATGCCACAACCTTCTATGCCGGTGCTCATTTCGTCCAAGATGGCAAAGCGACTTTCTCCGACGTTTTTCAAGTACGTATCTCTTGAACTTATGGTCATCTTTCTTCGCTCGAAATCGACGTAGTCCATGTTTGGAAGCTATCTATGAACATAACAAATGTAATTGGCAGGTTTTCTTTGCTTTGACCATGGCTGCTTTTGCCATTTCTCAATCAAGTTCGCTTGCACCAGATTCTACCAAGGCCAAAGAAGCCACAGCTTCCATCTTTTCCATAATTGATCGAAAATCAGAAATCGACCCAAGCGATGAAACAGGTGAAACATTGGAAAATCTAAAGGGTGAGATCGAGTTTCGACATGTGAGCTTCAAGTATCCTTCGAGACCAGATGTTCAAATTCTCCGAGACCTTAGCTTGACCATCCGGCCCGGCAAGGTAGCGTTTTTTTGCCAATTACCTTAAACTTCTCTTGGAAAAACTTTGCAAAACTTATGATTTTGGTTTCCTTGTGCTGTTTGCTTCAGACTGTTGCTCTTGTTGGAGAAAGTGGGTGTGGAAAATCCACTGTGATCTCACTGTTGCAGAGGTTTTATGATCCTGATTCTGGTAGCATCACACTTGATGGAATTGAGATTCACAAGTTCCAACTAAAATGGTTGAGACAGCAAATGGGTCTCGTGAGCCAAGAGCCGATCCTCTTCAACGACACGATTCGAGCCAACATCGCTTACGGAAAGGGAGGAGACGCAACCGAGGCTGAAATCATAGCTGCATCTGAATTGTCCAATGCTCACAAGTTCATCAGCGGATTGAACCAGGTGAGAAAATGAAACATTTTTCTGTTCATCAACTTGAGTTGCATTAGAAAGCTATGCACAATCCATTGTAGAAACAAAAAGAAATGAAACTTCGACATAGCTCAACTAGTCAAGATATATATCATCGACCAAAAAGTCGGAGGTTCAATCTCTGCTCCCACATGTTGAACTCAAAACTAAAATAAGTAAAACTTCGTCTCTCATCCTAACTCCTCCCACAATGCAAAATGCAGGGCTACGACTCGATGGTTGGGGAGAGAGGAGCTCAACTATCAGGGGGGCAGAAGCAGCGAGTAGCCATTGCACGAGCGATAATCAAGAGCCCGAAGGTCCTGCTGTTGGACGAGGCAACAAGTGCACTCGACGCAGAATCCGAAAGAGTGGTTCAAGATGCGTTAGACAAAGTGATGGTGAACCGAACAACCATAGTTGTAGCTCATAGATTAAGCACAGTGAAGAATGCTGATATAATTGCAGTGGTTAAAAATGGAGTCATAGTGGAGAAAGGAAAGCATGAGACTTTGATTAATATCAAAGATGGGTTTTATGCTTCCTTGGTTCAACTTCACACAAATGCCTCAACTTCATCTTCATGATAATTTACCTCAATATATCTTTTTTCTTTCTTTTTTCTTTTTCTTTTGTAAAAATAGCTATAAGGGTGTGTTAGTAATTCTTTTTTGGGTTGTTTTAATAAACTATTTTTCAGATATAGGTGGAGATTGTAAACTCAACCTCATGTATTGCCAAGTTTAAATGAAAGTTTTGTATGTGTTCTCTAAGTTGATGGGAAAAAAATCACTACATAATATTTATGTGCATTGTTTCTCGTTTCTCATTTTCAGTTTTGGATTTATTCTTGATGTATTTAATTTTTTTTTTAATATAATTTATGGGGTGGATTCGAACTCATGATCTTTGATGCCTTAATCATTGGAGCTATACTCAATTTGGCCTCTTGTTAGGTTGATTTAATTAAATTATTTATGTTTACGTGGTTAAAATTATTAGTTTACGTTGAAATATTATATTATTAATAATATAATATTCTGTAAAATATTAAGGGCATAATAGTAAAATATTATACTTTTTTTTATTTTCTCACGAATATCCAAATAATAAGTTTTAATTTTAATGATTTAGAATATTTTGGTTCCAAACGCAATTAAGAATTTAAATTATTTTCATAATTTAAAATCTTGAATTTGAAATCATTTCCTACCAATTTCAGATGTCAAACTAAGCATAAGTATTTGGTAATGGTACGTATTTCTCATTTCTCACTTTTAAAAAACGTTTTCAAAATGGGTATAGAAATGTTAGAAACAAGGAAATGAATATTTTTTTTGTTTATGTTTTTTTTAAATATAAATAAAATTATTATTATTTTTTATTAACTTATAAAATACATCGTAAATATAACATAAAACATTTGAATATTTAATTTTAAAAATCAAATTTTAGATAAAAACTAATTTTTTTTAATTGAAGATTTTTTAAAATGAGAAACAAAAAAATGGGTACCAAAATGTTTCTGTTTCTTTTTGCAATAAAAGAAAAGTAAGAAACAAGGAAAAATTGTCAAACGTGGTTTTGTTTTTATTTATTTAAAAAGAGGAAAAAAGAACCGAAAAATAGAAATGTTACCCAATTCCAAAAGGTCTATTTTCTTATTGAGATTTGTTGTTAAAACCTATGTCATCAGTCTATTATCATTGACTAATCAATTAATAAATAATCCAATTAATCAATTAACTAAAACTAAAATGAAATAGTTAAGATTAGTATTTAAATATCAATTATGATTATTGTACTATTAGGAAGTACTTTCAACCATAGTAAAAATCCTTTTTAAAGATTTTTCAAAAATGTCAAAAGCACTTCAAAAGTGATTTTCAAATAAATAATTGATAATTACTTTATAAGTAACTTTAATTTAAATACTTCTTAATCCTTAACCAATTATAACAAATACTTTATTTTTCTTAATTKTCTTTTGCACACACTTTTTCTCACCAACTTCTCTATTTACTCTCTCACAAATCTCTCTCTATTACTCTCTCTATCCATAAAATTTCTCCCTCTAATCTCTCTCGACATACTTTTTCTCATTTATTATTATTATTTTGTAAATTTGAATAATTTTGGTTATTTTTATTTAATAATTTGTCAAGTCAGTAAATATTAACCATAAAAAAAAATCTAATTAGATTANACCGCCATAAACCATGCTTTGGGGTAGAGGATCAAACTCGTAACCTCTTAGTTGGAGATTATGTCAATTACCGCTGAGCTATACTCATAAACCTGCTTTATTATTATACCTTGGTAAGTAAAAAGGTGTAACAATAAAACTATATTGCAGAAAAAATAAAATGCATATTTTGTAACTTACACCTGTTATTTTGAAAGGTACTTCTGGTCRAAAGAGAGAGAAAATAAATATTTATTTTAAAGTATTCTTCAACACAAATTTCTAATATAATGAATTTGATAATTGAAAAAAAAAAAACCTTATTGTGTAAAAATTGAAGTCTTTCTCACAAAAGTATTGGTTCAAATAAGACACTTTAGTAAGTAATTTTTGGTGAGTTTAGGGAGGATTATTATTATTATTATTATTATTTTTTGATATCATTATCATTTACTATTAATTAATCAACTTTTTAGTTATTATTATTATTATTATTTTAAAACAATACATTATTATTATTATTATTATTTGATATCATTATTATTATTATTATTATAGATAACGCATGTTATTTTCTTTTACTCTTAATTAATCAATTTTTTAGTTATTATTATTATTATTATTTTAAATCAATAAATTATTATTATTATTTGATATTGTTGTTATTATTATTATTATTATTATATTTTTTATATTATGATTATTTATTATTTCTATTTTAATATATTTCAAAAAAAATATTATTTTTAATAAATTGCATATTCATTTTTTTTACTATTAATCAACTCTTTACTCATGATTATTTTTTTCATTAATTGTTATTATTATTTATTATTATATCATTATATTTTATATATTATTTATATTATTTTTAATAAACCGTGTATAAAAAAATATATAATTATTATAGTTTTGAGTGGATTTGTAATCACCTTAATTATTATATATAATCATTTTTTAGTTAAAGTCAGCTGTGGTGTGGTGGATTTGTACTCATCTTATATACAAAAATTCTTGTGTTCGTGGCTGGATTGATACGTTTGTCATTTTTTATTACGTTTATAATAATAAGTAAAGAGTTTATTAATAATAAAAGAATAAAAATAGTTTATTAAAAATAATATTTCTTTTGAAATATAATAAAATAAAAATAATATATAAAATATAATAATAATAATAATAATAATGATAATAATGTGTATTGTTTTAAAATAAAAACATTATTTAAAAAAAAAAGCTTATAAAAAACAAAGTACTTTTATCAAATGTTATTCTAAAAGTTACTGTGTTTTGGTCTACTTTTGAGTTGACCAAAAAATTTTCTATTGGGGCAAATATATATATATATGATGTGCTTTCAACCCTTTCAAAAATGAAAAAAAAAAAAATTATTGCTACAATTGTGAAAATAAATATTTAAAAAATATATTGTACATAATTTTTTAAAAGACTAAATTACAAAGTTTAGTCACGATGCGTGTCCAGTAGTTCTTGAACTAATTTAAAAAGTGTCAAAAATGTCTTTAAACTTTTAATCTATGAACTTTAAATTTATGTTTAATAGATATTTTAACTTTTTTTGTCTAATTGGTTTCTAATTAAATTTTTTGTTCGTTGGGATACTGGACTTTCAATTATGTCTCTTCGAGAATTTAAAAAAATGTTTAATAAGTTAAGGACCTATTAAATATAAAATTAAGAGTTAATGAAAGTTTTGGATCTATGATATAGCTTTTAAAGTTGAATGAGGTATTTGACATGATTTTTAAAGATAAAAGGACGAGATTAGTAATTTAATCTTCTAAAACCAAAAAAATGGCACTCTAATATATCATTCAAAGTCTAATGGGTAGAATGGGAAATTACAAATGTTATTTAGTTTCAATCATCCATGAAGTTAGAGAATTACTTCAACAATATAGTGTAAACTAAACTAACAACTTTGACATTAAGTTCCATCATTTCTTTTTTTTTTTTTTTTGAAAAGAAAGATGCATTAAATTAAGTCTAAATCACTTGGGCATAGTTCGAGGGAGTATCTCCCTTTACAGAGTCTAAAAGTCTCGCAGTGCCGAGAGACATGGCCGAAAGAGATTGATTCGAAAGAGGAAGCCAGCGCTCTTGCTTCCAACACTCAATTAAGCTCGTCACCAAGGATATGGATTTCATTCTTAATCAACTGGATTCCCAAGAGGGAGTCCGATTCCACTTCAAGTTGGGTACAGTTAATAGTTTGGGCATATTTCAATCCTTCAAGAATCCTTTTAATTTCAGTCAGAAGAGGTGGTAATGAATAAAGAACATACACGATTTAGCCGCCATCACAGCTCCATTGGATCCCTGCAAAAGAAACCCCAAGCCCGAAGATGAATCCCCTACATGCAACATCAGTGTTGAGCTTTAGATGGCCTGTACTTAGGAGGGTTCAAACCTGACCATGTGATGAATCCCTACCTACGTTGCTTTAGTGGTCCATTTTAAGGTGGTTAGTAACATCATTTTGAATTATTTGTTTAGTAAATTAAAGACAAATTTAATTCTCTCTCACTGCTCCATGTACATTATCATAATCAAATGAATAAATAGTAACAAATTAATTTTATAAAAAACAAAAAAACAAAAAAATTAGTATTGCCCCTTAGTGAAAATATGCAGCAAAGAAAAAGGTGTTCCTTGAACTAATGCACTTCATCAAATTTATAATAAGCCATTCTCATTGTTTGATAGAAACAAAAAGTCTAATAGAATTCATATTATATTCAAAGAATCAAAACTAAATAGCCTCGGAAATATATAATGTTTATAGGATCAATGAGCCCATAGTCTTAAAAACATGTGAGATTAGTCGAGATGTGCGTAAGCTAGTCCGGATACTTACGGATATAAAAAAAAAAAATTAAGTTTTTAGTTTTTTATTTTTGAAAATACAATTGTTTGATTCCTCACAATTTCTTTGGTATGTTTTCCTTTTTTTTAAAGAAATATTTGAATAATTAGACAAATTTCAAAATTAAAAATGCTTTTAAATAGCAGATAACAAAACAAAGAAATAGGTTCAATTGTCCGAAATGAATTTCTAAATCTGCGTATTTATCAACATCAAGTTCGTAAACAAAACCAAATTCTTGTTGGCAATTCTATAATTTAATTATGTATGGATCAAAAAATTATGAAAAACCTTTTCCTTGTTTTTGCTTATATTCTTTTTCTACCGTATTTCGGGAATGACTTGTACTGCATTACTAGTCATAGTATGGATATTGTGAGGAAGGCCATTTTACCTCTTCGGTAAAAGTAGTGTGAACTTTGTCGTTTGACACATAGAGGAGAATCCTTGCCTGTTGAATCATTTCGTCAGTGCTTCAAACAGATTAGTAAAAAATAAAAATAAAAACTTAGAACAATTCTCCATCAACATAGAAAACAAACTTTGTCAATTAAAATTTAAAAAAGAAATTGAGAGGGATAATTAGATAAAGTCAAAGTCTTCTAAGTTTTTTACATTTGATTTTAATTATTTTTATTGCTTTCCTTCATTTAATTTTACATTTTTTTTATAGATTAACCAATTTATTAGTAAATCTTAATTATGCCTATTTAGTCATCGAACTTTCAACTCTCTAAATTTTCGATTTTCATTTCTAGTAAATTACAATAACTAACATCATTCTTGTTATTATTTTCTTCAGTATACAAATGGGGATGGAGGTCGGAGGATTGAAACTGTTACTTCTAAGAAACGAGCAAGGTGTCGTGCTGAGTTATGCTCATTTTGGCAATTAACATCATTCCTTAAATGCTCGTTGGACTAACAATCGACGAGTTGTCCCAACATGTGTCATAATAGAGAATGACAACTAAATAAAATAAAGACAAAAGAGCCAAAAAAAAAATTCAATAGAGCAAGCATACAATAATGCAATAATCAACGAGACAATCACGACGACCTATAAGCTTAAACATAGCTCTAGTAGTTTAAGCATAAGATCAGTCTCTCTTCTCCACATTTACAATATTATATTAAGAGGAAAAAATCGACACGAACCAACCGGGTCGAAAGCTTAAATAGAAAAAACAATAAATGAGAAAGAAAGAATCAAAAGACACCCTGTTTTGTAAGAAAAGAAAGGCATATAAGAGAAATTAGAGAGGGAAGAAGCATGAAGGAATGGTGGGGCAAGCCCAAGTTTAGGGATGCAAATGTGTGAATGAGAAGCACTTTGGTAGGTTCTAAAATAGAATGCCCACCAACTGTTTGTTTTTATGTCGCAGAGGCCATCACGTGGGTTGTTAAACTTACCCATCACTTATCATATACCCCAAAAAATAAAAAATAAAAATGAAAAATGCTCAATCTAAATTCTAATTCACTCTTCTCAATGCCACAAAAGTCATATTGCATTGTCAATGTCTTGAGGAAAAAAGGTTAAAGTATAATTTGTTTGTTCGTATCGTACCGTGATTGTGAGTATTCGTACCAGTTTACCTAAAACACTTGAACTAGTTTAATGAAACAATCAGTCTAGTCATACAACATATGGTTGTTAGAAATATCCGTTGTATTTTAATACCTTAGATAAGTACCGACTATGGAGTTTGAAGTTATCTTTCCAAAGTTCTTTACTTTTGTCACTTGTCCGGATGAGGATTAGATCAATCAATTTACTCTCTAAGTTTTGATGGTTGTATCTGTTTAGTTTAATTATAAAAAAAAAAAACCAAGTTGGTCTTGGCTTCAAATTTTGATTCTATATCATTAATATTGTTCAGAAAAAATTACTAGTATCAGGGGATTATGGATACTACTCTCATTCATTAGTAATCACATCAACATCGTTTAAAAATGGTTGTGTGGCTAGCAACATTAAAAGAATTGTTTATAAAAGAAAAATGATAGTACGAAGATGTGGAAGAAATACTCTTGTAGTATTAGGAAAAAAAAACCTCAGTGACATGGATAATGCTTATTAAACAACATGTTGGTTGATTCGACCCATATATAATAGTTGTATATCTGATTTGATACATACTTAAAAAATAAGAGTATCGCATGTTCCACTTTATGTTATGATCTATGATATACGTCTATATCTTTCAAACATCCATATATCACGTTACGTTAAATTAGTCAATATTTGTCCACTAAACATGCCACTTTACCATTCAGTTCACAACAAATATTATGTAGGCGTGATTAGAACTTTTTCGAATCTAAGAACTAATCAACATTTTAGAATCTAAGAACTAATTAAAACACAAAAACTAAAATTTAGAAACTAAATTCGTAATCTAAACAAAAAAAATGAAGTGGTGTGCATTAAAAACTTAGAAAACTACAACCACATGATCATCCAATTGGTGCGAGTGAAGGAGGATAAGGTTTAATGGCTACTACTACCCAACTACCATCTACTTCATTATTTGGTTGGCCACAGCTACATACATTAATTCTATCTTATCTACCACCCATTAAACCCTCTTTTCAACCTCCTTTATTCACATTTATCCCCTTCATCCTCTGGTGTTTTGACTTAATTCTGAGACCAATACGATGTTACGTACTTTGGACATAAACCTGCATGATTGTACTTTTGGTTTTATCTAAAAAATCTCTGATAAGTTCTCAGTCCTTACTCTTATACTCACGATCTTTCCTGTATCTTGGTTGATACAAGACTTGATACAAGACTTAGTCGCACTTTCGACCTACAAGATGCTTGAACCAATCATAAATAGTAGTACAACTAAAATCTGAACCATCCTATACCGTGCAAGTTGTAAAATTATTRTAGTAAAACCCAATCACTAGTACAATTATATGCAATAATTTTCAAGTTAAGAGTTTGAAAATGAAGTTACAAGATAAAGGGGGAGTTTTTTTACCATCATTTTCTAATAATAATAATAACAACAAACAAAAACAATGAAGGAGATGAGGGGAATAAGAGGTAGAAATTTGCACCTTTCTCTAAGTTGCAGGGTGTGCTTCAACAAATGATTGCCATGTTTTTGCTGCAGACCAACCACTGGCTTCACTTTGATGCAAAAGTTTGGACTGAAGATGACATGACATGTATTATTTCTGTTATCAAGAAAAAGAACAAACAAACTAACAAAACAAAATTATTAGAACAACGGTTCTCTCCATATCTCTACAACGGTAGGACGAAAATTTTTACTTTGCCCTGGTTTTACTTTTGATTTCCATCCAAAAGGGTCTCATCCAACTAACTTTCTCGACGATGTTCGCATCCCGAGCACGACGTAGTACGTCAAAATCTTCTTGAGATTGGGGAATTTGTGTTGTTTTCAAAAGGAAAAAAGGTATGATGGAGAGGAATCAGAACAGTAGCAGAAGCATACACCTCAGAAACAAACAAACAAATCAAGAAAAAGGCACTTAAAAAGTTTACAAACAGTGCTCCAACAAACCAAATCTTAGAACATTCTCTTCAAGAAGGATGAAGAACAAGAATGGCAGTATCCTATGATCTCTCCACTAAAAACCCCCCAAATCAAATGAACAATGAACAATTTAGAACATATATTGCACAGTTTCAGAGATCCAACAATGAACAATTTTCAATGTCATGAACAGAGAGAGAAGAATAAAGCTTAAATATGGCAGCCAAAGCAGTTACAGGTCTTGGGGGTGAAAGAGCAGAAGCCAAAGGGCCTATTAGGGATGTTACAGTTTATGGCATAACAACAGGGCGATGGGAGGCACATTCCTCTGGCGCCGCCGCAGCAGGTGCAGAGGGCGCATACCTGGAAGCTCCTCAGCCGCCGCCGGCCGCCGCTCATCACCACCGCCGTCTCCATCTTCTCCCCGAGCCCCATTAATGGCACCATCATCGGCTCTTGATCGGACACATTTACCTAAGAAACAACAATCGCAGATGCTAATTCAATCACACAACAGAGCATAGAGACAATCGATTTGTGGAAAAATGGGGAAATTGAATCGAATTGGGGGGTTTTGAAATGTGGATTTTTAGGGGGGAGTAGTACTCACGTAGATTGAGGTTGCTTCAATGGCGTTCTGGGCGAGAAAGAGCACGAAAATGAGGGAAAATGCAACCCCATGAGAAGGCATCATGAGAAAAAACAAAAAAATGGGGAAAGAAAGTGGAATTCAGAAGATTTTATTCATGGGAAGTTACTCATTTCTTCTTGTACATCAAGAAGAAGAAGAACTTTCAATTGCTTTGAGCTGAGGCCTTGAATTTCAAAGGGGGTGGGGAATTTTCTTCTTTTTTCTTTACACGGTTTTGCAGAGATTTTGGAAGGAGGAAGAAGAAGAAGAAGAATTATATGAAGTAGTTGCGGGAAGTCACGCACATCTATGGCCTTTTAACCACAAAGAATGGCCATCGTGATTGGTGCCATTGTACACTGCGGCCAATTTTCTCTTTCTTGTGTGTTTTTTTAATTAAAAAAATCTTTTTTTATTTATATATAAGAATCTCCCACCTCAAGGGAATGAGTACGTATTAATTATTGTTGACTCACAGAACTGCTCATGTTAGCAAAGAAAAACAAAAATTCTTGTTGCATCTTAGGTTGCATGTTTTTGGATTAGTGTTAAAAATATTATATTGTATTAACATGATATGCAATGATCAATTTAAGTATGGTTCGATCGGTATATTTATAAGGTTGTGAGTTCGAATTCTCTATGTTAGTACTCAAAAAATAAAAAATATTCCTCAATAGGTTAGTTAATATTTGACTCCACCTTCGCATTTTATTAAAATATGATATGTAAAATAGACTTTTACATTTTTATGATAAATAACAAACTTGATCTTCAAAGTTTTTAGGTTGGATTGTGACTATTTAGCTCATATACTTTAAAAGTTTATAATAAGTTGATGAACGGTTAAAGTAGGTTTATCTTTCAATTTTGTATCAATAGGTCCTTATAATTAATTTCATTTGTTTAACATTTATACGGCACACTAACTATATTGTAATTTAAAGATTATGTAACGAGTTAATTTTAAGTAGATTTAGGTACTGGGTGGTGTAAGTACTAAACTGACAAATTAAGGATACTAAGAGCCTTATATTAAGCACAAAATTAAAAAATTAAAGTTGAGAAGCTTATTAAAAACTTTTAAGAGTATGAAATTAAGTAGGCAAATCTTTAAAAATTGATGGACCAAAATTATAATTAATCTAATTTTATTAAGGATATAATTTAATCTAATTGATCAATATTTTTGTTTTTGAAATTCAAACATGTTTACTAGATGTCACAAATTTAGCATGATTTAGATTTCAAACGAAAAATAGCAACCATAAAGAATTACATATATTAAGGAAAGAAAAAAAGAACGTAAAATCACCAATGCAAGTTAATTTATATAGGTACAAATAGTTTATTAAATTTCTAAGTTGATATACGTTAATCCACGACTATAAAATATAATATTAAAGTAGTTGGTTTGTTATAAGGGTTTTATGATTCTTAATTAAACTGTCTTATGACAGGTTTCAACTAAAGTTTTCAACGTGGATGTCTCAATTTTATGAAAATTTTGACAAAATGTCAATATCGATGAAATATTATAGAAAAAATTATAGAAATAAAAAGTTCATTAATGTTTAGAATTAAAAAAAAACATTTTACCCTTTTAAATAGGTTTTAATTTATTAAAATAAATATTATCTCCGTATTAAGTAATGTTTTATTTATATTTTATTGTATTTTGATATATATATATATATAAAACGAATATACAAATTAACTAAATATGTCCATTTATTTTTAATAAATTCTCATGACAAGTAGGAAATCAAGGAAATATCTCCTATTTCATTCAAATTTCAAGAAATTGAGTGTCATGTGCTTGTTAGCTCATATTAACACATAAAGATAATGATAAATATAATTTTGAAGTCTAGAGACATTGAAACGTGTTAAATTTCACTCTTTTAAAAAAATATAAAGTTGCTTTTCAAAATGCATTTAGATAGTTTTTAAAAAACAGAAAAGCAAGCAGGAAATAACTAAAAATTAAAAGGGAAATTGGAACGGTAGCAATAATCTTTGTGTATTTCAAAATATGTCACCTGCTTTTAAAATTTTCAAACATAGCAAAAATTTTCACTTATATAAATAGTATATCAAATATTAGTATATCAAATATTTGTATCAGTAATATATCAATAGTATATCAAACACTCATATCAGTAATATATTAGATGTATATCACTTGCACGGACACTCATATCATAATTTATATCAAATACTCGTATCAATAAAAATCTACTTTATGGATAGTAAATATTTATTATTATAATAATTTATTTAATATTAATAATAAATAATTAAAATAAAACTGCATCAACTAAAAAAGATTAATATAATTTTTATTAGAGTCATCCTTAATATAAAATATTATTAAATTTTAATGTTGAAACACATATTTGATAATAATAAACTGTATTTTAATAATTTTATTGATATTGCTTAATATTAACAAATAAAATTCAATAATTGATAAATAAAATATAAATTTGAGATATTTTATAGCTCCAATCCGACGTGCCCTATCCGAATTTTAAAATCTTCCACGTGATGAGATAATATCACAAAATATCGGAATTTATCTCACCAAATTATAAATAAAAAATTAATTAAAAAATTAACTCAACCTACTCGCCATTTCTTCATCTCCTAACTATTTTTTATTTTTCATTCCTATTTTTAAGTTCAACCTGGTAAGATGGAAGATCAACCTTGTTTGTTATATATATATATATATATAACCCATAGTATTTTCCATTGAGATTTTTATTTGTCTATGAAGTCACAAAAATATCTTTTCAGGGAATGTTCAATAATAATAATTTATTGGGCAAGTCTTGAATTTAGATGGAGTCGGTTGGACTTCTTAGATTGGGCAGGGATGATATGGATATTTAATATTGTTGAGGGTAAAATCCGAGCAGGGCACGTATCTGCTTCCCAGCGGTGATGTCTCGTATATAATCGAACAGGGTAAAATCCGAGCAGGGTTCCTCTTTCCACAATCCGACGTTGTCGAGCATGACACACGGAACAAGGGACCACAAGCGGTGACGCCCCGTATATAACCGTAGCAGGAGAGGATGCGCGTTGTCGGTAACAAGGGAGTATACCCTACAGCTGTAGGGGATGAGTCCTTGAGCCACAGGAGGCGCTACCAACCTACGACTGTCGGGAGCATGTCGCCAGATTCCTTCCCGATGGCACGTCGCACCTCTGCCACCTCTAACCATCGTCCTTCTTGGTTGACCACTCGAGACTATAAAAGGAAAGACTCTCATCTTCTACAAGTAAGTGAAAAACATGTCACTTATACTTAAGGTGTCTTATTTCTTTCTCTCCTCCGATCACTAACTTAATCGTCAGAGTGTTTTAGGCGGGATACCGCACCGGCGTCGAGTAACTCCGGTTTCAGGTTCACTCATTCCTTGGTCGGACCATTCGTTCGAACGACACGTGGCCTATGACCGGAATTCGCCGCCAACAAATACTAAAATATGTTTTTTTAATAAATAATACCAAAAAATTGTTAGTTCATATTAAAGGAGAAAATATATATATAATAGTTTTTCCAAATTTTCTKGTTAAAAATAGCTTGAACAACCTATCATACTAATTAGGCTAGCTAGGTCCATTATTTTTCAAATTTAGAGCAAATTAATTGTAGCAATGAACAAAATTATTGTATTGGATTTGGGTGAAGAATTTCCTATCTAATCAAATAATATTCTTCCAATCCTATTTCCAACACATCCCAATAAATATTTTTGTCTTAGACTAGGTTGTCTRGACACAAAGAGAAATGTGAAGACCAAAAATTAATAATAACTCCAAAGATGGCTTTTTCCTTTTGTAGGAAAACGAAGGTGGCCTCTAGAATCACCAAAATTTCTATCATTTTAATCATTTGCTTCCTCTTCAAACCTCAAGTGAATTCAATTAGCAATAAATCTCAAAGGACCRAGCTAATTTCTTATCTAAATTCAAACCAAGTCTTAAAAGAATTTATATATTACACATATTCTTTTTATTCAACAAAATGAAATAAAATAAAAATTGTCACTGACGTGTTACGTTATAAAACCTTAGGGATAAAAATGTCAGATTTTAAAATTTATGGATTAAATAGAACTACTCCCCAGAGACCACAAAATATTTTGTCTCAAATATAAATAATAATTTTGATTATTTTATGTATAAAAAAATTTACAGAAATTTCTTGMGAACAAAAATTTTTCTTAAAAACCGAGAAACAAGAAATATGAACAATTACCAAACGTATGCTTATATTTTTTCATAATGTAAAACAAGAAATAGAAACGTTACCAAATTTAACATTCCGATTAAACCTTACTCATTTCAAGAGATAAATGAAAAAAAAACTATATTAATTTCTTTCTCCATGTAGCTGCCCATGTGATAGTTTATCAGCCAAGAGGGATTCTTCCATGGGGTGACATGTCACATAGCTCATCCTTTATTGAATTTAGGCCACCAAAATCAAGTGGCACATGAAATGTATTTAATAGGCTGATTAAATAAAGTTTATATTCCATTCATACCACTATTCGCTTCTTATGTCAATTTTATCTACCTTATCACGTCAAATCAATCAACATTTATCTAATTATATGCATGTTATTATTTAGATAGTTTTTTTAAGTTCAACAATTACAGAGTAGAGATCAAAAACCATCGTCTATTGGATGGTATATATATATAGATCTTCTATCCACTTGAACTATACTCTCGAATTTTGGTTTATCATCTAGCTAGTTAATAGTACTAATAGCAAAAACTACATATACACATAAATGTACGTAGTTGAAATTTTTTTTAAGCTAAATGGATACAACCATCAAAGTTTAGAGGTAAATTATCATTTGTAAGCCTATTCATCGGTCGATGGTGTCGGTTTGATGCAGAAATCAACGATGTCGGTTTTTAAAAATAGAAACTGACTTTCGTCAATTCGATCGGTTGGTTTAGGTTAAAACCGACTATTATTTTTAAAATAGTTTACGTTTTTTAATTTGCATTAGAGAGCGGTTGGAATATAGTGGCAAAAGGACTGGCTAAGCCTCAAAATCGACCGACCACAATCGGTTCAGTCAGTTTCGATTGATTGGCTTGGTTTCACCGCTAATCATTTGTATTTATTTTGTTATTGGGAAATTCATGTGTTCACTATATAGTCTCAAAATTTTATTTATTAAAGTCTGTGTGTGGGAAGGAAATTCAAATATTTAATTTTTAAGACATTATACTTAGGGTTGGCAAGTCTATCATATCATAACTATAAATTATTTTATCTGGTTTATAAAGATTTAAGCATTATTTTGTTCTTTTGTGT